GGATAGCTGCCAGGCCGATATCTGCAAAACTTGGCAAGGAGTCTCAGAGAGTCAGGAACCAGTTAAAATGAACTAATTGTCTCCTGCAAACTCCACTCCTCTTTTATTCCCTCTGGGAGGGGCCATTCATCGTCCACCTGTGGCCTCACTCCCAAGTTGACCCTTGTTCCTTATTTGTTCCCTTCATGTAGCAACTCTGCGCATGCGCGCCTTGGGAACAGGCTCCACTGTTTGTCTGCTTCACTGATGCCTGACTCTGAAGGCATCTGATAACTGGCATACGGCTCTGGCCCCCTCTCTGCCTCCGACATAGACCCCTTATCAGAGCCTTCCCCAGATTCTAGGACTGGCCCATGTTCCTCCCCAACCTCCTCACTGTCCGAATCTGCTGCCAGCCCTACTGGCAGGTGACAACATAGTGATGTAGAAGCCTATACTCTATAGATTGAAAATCACAGCTATTTTTCTTCCTTAGGAAAGCTTTACCTATCATCACACCCAGTTTAATGTAGGCTAGTACAGCAGGAGATAGGAAATTAAAATCACTCGCACCTTTCTGTCTATCAACATATTTTAAAGAAAGCTAGGTTTTCATTTGTTGACATACCCAATAGCATGTGATAAGGTCATCCAATGGGTGTGGTGAGCTCAAAAACTTCAAGATGGCAGCTGTGTCTCTGCCATGCCACCTTTTTACATTCATTATCCTTGTACAATAATGGATTTCAGTCATAATTGAAATTACTCCAAAGTTTCTTGAGAGTTGTAAGTAAAGGGAAGTAAAATTGCCAGAATAAAATAAAACTTTGATAAGTTCTTTTATTGCCACCTTGATTTTTTTTCAACCATCTCAGTGCCCGAAATTTCAGAGATGGGGGTCCTAATCATCTTGGTGACTAAGGCAAATTTGATCGGTGAAGTCGGCTTTCCAATAAACAAACTCTTTAAGACAGGAAAAGGCTACCTTCCAATATTTTAAACTTGGAAGTCGAGGAAGAAAATAACATTTATTTTAAACCCGAAAACATATACAAGATGCATGACAAAGTATACATGGGTTAAGTATTGAAACAAAGCAGTTTTGAACACGTATCATGATTAAACTGAAATTAAGATCTTACAAAATTAACATTCCGTTCTAGAACATGAATGAAAACAGTTCCTTAAATTATATAGGTACAAGGGATGCAATTGAGTTTTCCGTTTTCAATGTAATTTGGAAACCATATCTGTGTACCTGTTCAAACTAGTTGATACACATACCATGTCTTAGGCAATTAACCATAAAATTATTTTGTATTCACTCTGTTCAAAATAGAAATAGAAAGATAGCTATGAAGAGATACATGATTAATCCAAAGATTCACATAATATAGACCCTGAACTCATGAAGTCACAAAGGATTGTACAATAATAACTGAAAGGAACATGAGTCTACAGAGAACTACTGCTGACTGAATGTAATGAGACCTTAACTGATCTAGCAAAGTACCTACTTATCTATAGAGGAAGATGGAATGGAACTGTTCTCCATTCTCTGAAAAACTAGGTTGGTGAACCTAGCTTTATACCTCAAGCTTTAGAATAAAAAGTTAATGTGCCTGCCGTTTGGCCCACTGAATGGCCCACTGGAGCCACAGCTATTTCTAGAAGCAAACTAAACAATGGGATAGAAGACGTATCTCTAAACCATTAGAGGTCAACCTTCTAGATCAGGGGTCTCCAACCTTGGCAATTTTAAAACTTGTGGACTTCAACTCCCAGAGTTCCTGAGCCAGCTGGTTGATGAAGTCTGGGAGTTGAAGTCCACAAGTTTTAAAATTGCCAAGGTTGGAGACCCCTGATCTAGGGGTGGGCTGCTGGGGGTTCACAGGGATTCGGGAGAACCTCTAGAACCTCTGTGCAGTTTGGAGAACCCCCAAATC